TGAACAACTTCAATGACAACCTAGACAACCACCACAGATGACATTCAAATGCATTAACATCGAGCAAAGGAAGAGTCTCCCTTCTGTTCACCAACCAACATAGACTTGACTCAACCACTTGTTCAAAACAGTCACATCATGCACAAAGTTCAAGATATCAGAATTAAGACCGAGCAATCTAGGTCCTCACCGGGATAAAGAGTATAGAGAATAAAAGAAAATGAATCGCTCACTCTCGACCAGTGGGGTCAGGACAATATGATGCGAAAAATGTGCATGCTTAAACTCTCAATCCCTAACATCTCTTCACCATGAATGCAGCCTCTAAGTGCTAGAGTTCACATATGGGGTGTCATCACTAACTAATCCGGAGGTCTTAGACACAGGTTCAGATGACTGGCTAGGGTCTTGGACATGGGGAAAAGGCCTTTTAGGTGGTGGAAGTATTCATACAGCACAAGGTTCCACATTTCCAAACCCAACAGATTCACAATCAATCGAACCAATAACTTTCTTTCTGCTATTCTGCATTACTCAAGTTCAAAGCACAAGAGCGAAGGAGGTTACATAAATGCTAGTATTTCTAAGCCAGACTGCTAAGAAACACTACTACATGGGCATTATTCAGATTTTTGGTGGTGGCTCTCTTTTGCTTTCATTTTTTTTTCTTTGATTTTCTTTCATTATTTTTTTCATTTCTTAAGAGAACCACCACCTCTGCACATTCTCAAATACCTGCCCAACTTTTAAGCACTACCTCCAACCCTCACATTACATTTAGCAGAAACAGCAGAGAACATGTAAAAATCACTCTGTGGAACCTTCTAAAAGATGCAAAAGGGTGACTTTTCATTAAAGACCGAAAGAAAGGAAAACACACGGCTCAAAGGGGCTGACTAGGGGTATGACACACCAGGACAGTCAATTTGGTCGCGGGTTAATCCTATGCCTCCATCATCTTAGCTAATGACAACGTGAATGCTGCACATCATGGAAGAGGAAACTATCGCACAAGAAAGAAACGAGCAGGCTCAAATCTCACATGGCTACCTATATGCTCTATCTCTCGTTCTGATTCCCTGAACTAGATGCATAACTGACTGTCAAAAGCAAGTGATCAAACCAAATCACATTTAATGGGCAGACAGTTGAGATACTGAACCCCTGCACAATTCTACTGCACATCTCAGTCATCACAATAAGTTGTCTAAGTCACACTCAAGTTGTCATGTATCAAGTCAAAAGCCATTCAGTTCACTAATCACATCCACAGTGCCAATACGATCAATCATCAAGCAAACAGCCGTGCTTGGAGCCCTCAAATCGAGCGATTTGGACAGTGGACTAGGCTCCAAGCTCACATATATACGTTCCAATTCATACAAAGAACCCCCCCACACTTAAACGCGACAATGTCCTCAATGGAGCAGAGGGAAGGGGAACGATGTTACCGTGAAACAGTGGTCAGGAACGTTGACTGGATGGCGGACCAGTTAAAAGAAGGGGCACAGAGCTAGAGACAACAAAAAAACACACTGGGTGATAGGAGTCAGAGTACCAAGTCTACAATCCAAGATAGAAACAAAACCAAATGAAAGCACAAAACACGGAGTCTCAGTCTGGAAAACAGATAAAACACAAAACCCGCCCTAGAAGGCATCACCACCATCGCCGGTGGGTGGAGGGTACTCATCCTCGAACCCTGGGGACTGCACGAACGGGTAGTGGACCGCATTCGGGTCCAAGCCCAAGTAGGACATGATGTAGTGCTGCCCCGACATGAGACGACGCCCTCGGTCCCGCTCACGATCAAGGCGGGTGTGGATGAGCTCCTGGCCGGCCAGGATGCGCTCATTCTGCTGCGAGATCGCCGCCAACTGGTCGGAGATGGGGACCACCAATGTAGTCAAAATCCCGATTTTAATCTTTAAATCTTACAATTTTACGATCTTACCTATGGGTTCCGATCTTGATTTTACTGTAAAATCTTTGAACCTTAAAATCCCATAAAATCCCGATTTAAAACTCTAAAATCCATAAAATCTACGATTTCTACGATTTTGTACGATTTCAAGGTTCATATCAATTGGATCAAAATTAGGCCGGTCAAGTTGGGTTATGCCCATGAACCGAGTCAAATTTACTTTCCCCAATCCAACATAATGAACAACACAACCCCAACCTGATAGTTAACCCTCAATTTGTTGTCATTCTCTTCCTCGTATCTTCCTCTTTCGCACGTCGGCGCCCAACTCCTTCCATCAACGATATCTTCCACCCTCCCAATTAGCTTGTAGTTTGTTCCCACCATCCTCACAATAATCCAAATCTCCATTACATTGCAAGCTTTTGTTCATCTCTCAATCCTTCAGCACCACTAACCCGACCTTTTATCAATTAAGAAGGGAATGCATCAATCAATGAGTTATCTTTTCTAGATGATAGTAATCAAGGAAATATGGTTAATGGTGAAAGTACTTCAAGTGATCATAAGAGTAATGATATTAGTCCTTAAACAAATAAAAACGATGAGAGTGAGGGTGAGGTTGAGGATGATGACGATGATGTGTAAGTGATGTTAATGTTGATCCTAACGATCTTATGTGATTTTCTACTCTTAACAATTAATTAACAGTGATATCTATAATGTTTCAGGTTTCTTATTTGCGTGTTTCTATTATGTACAAGAAAAATATATGGATTAGTTGTGTTTGTTTAGCAAACAAACTTATCTTGGGAAGTAATTATGCTTCATGTAGTTGACTGTTATTAAAGATATGCATTTTTATTACTATCTAGTGTTTTAAGTATTTATTTTAATATGAACTTTAAAATCTTACGATTTTAATCTACGATTTCGATTCTACCGCAGTTTTCGATTTTACTTAAAATCTAGATTTTGACTGCATTGGGGACCACCACCGGAGGAGGTGGTCCTGCAGATGGAGACCGGGCAGCAGGAGAGGGGCTCGCGGGAGCCTGGGCACGACGAGGAACGCGACGAACTCGGCGTCCACCAGCGGCGCTCGACTCGGCCTGGTCGCCCTCGGCAGGTATAGGTGGCTGGGCTCGGCCCTCGGACCAGTGTCATCTCTGTGAAGTCCACCCCATAGTTGCGGGCCAAGGAGGTGATCACCGGGCCACAAACGAGGGCGTGAGACGTGCTGATGGCTGGCTTAGTTAACGTCCGGGCAAGCACAGATCCCAGCTGGATGGTGTCCTCGGAGCGACACATCGCATGCATCAACCAGAGATTCCGGAGTGTGACCCGGTTGGACGAGCCAGCGCTGGGTGTGTAAGAAGTGCACATGAGGTGGTTGAGGATCCGCCACTCTGGACGGAGGAGAGCAGCCCGCGTCTGGCTGGCCACGTACTCTTCATCCACACTGTCCGGCAGGCAAATGGTCTGGAAGTACGCCTGGGAAGCGAAGTCCGTGGGATCAGAGAGATCCAAGCGGAGAGGAGGCCCGCCTGCTGTCCGGGAATTTAGACGAAGGGCATTGGTGAACTCCGAATAGCTGAGGGAGTGCTCCACCCCGCCGAGTGTGAACTGGACTGCATTAGAATGGTCGGAGTTCCCCCTCGAGTTGTGGTTGAAGGTGGCGTAGAACTCCAAGACGAGCTCCTTGTAGGTCGGCTCGGCAAGGGTGAGAAGACGCCGCCAAGCAGGGGAGCGGACCGCGGCCTCCATCTGTGGCCTGGCATGAAGCTCTCCGAACACCTCCCAATCGAGGTGATGGTGCTCGGCGATGCTGCGGGTACGGAGGTTCCGCAGCTTGTGGCGCTGGACGATGTTCAGCTGGTCGAGGTAAGTCTCCATGATCCTGCAAAACACAATGAAGGACAAAGTGTGCACAAGCAAACGGGGTCAATGTTAGGCCAAACCCACACCGGGAGCCCTCATATCGAAAGATATGGACAGTAGACTAGACTCTCGGCGACATACACATACCCATCATACGAGAAATACACAGCAAAATATACCGGGCACCCTCAAATCGAGCGATTCGGACATTGGACTAGGCCCCCGGTAAAACAAGCATACCACAACTGTCCTAAATAGCGCAAGCGAGGCCACAGAAAATTCACATAGCACGCATACCAGGCAACATGCAATCAGCACAATCACACCCCCAAACCCAAAATTTTCGCAAACCATGCATTCCACATTCAGAAGTTCTTCACCTAACTCTAGGTATCGATTCTCCATAAATATAGTAAAAGACAAGGAGAACACACCTGGAGACGCAAGAAGAGACCACGAGAGAGGTGAAGAAAGTGGAAAGAAGCACCCAAAGTCGCCGGAAAACACACCGGAGACTCGCCGGAAAACTCACCGCCGGCGACCCAACCTCGGCCAAACCAGCCCAAATCTTTGGGGAAAGTGCTCCTTGACGCCAGGAGCGTGGGGGCGGTCGCGGTTTGTGATTTGGAGGTCGGGAGAGGGAGTTATGGCCGGAAAATCGAGCCAGAAGGTGAAGGAGGTGAATTTCCAGTGAGGGGGGCTGGGGGGTTTGAAAAAAAAATGGACTGATCTGATTTTTGGCTGAAAAAAATCGCTTTCGGGGAGGCCGAAACACGGGCGGGCCATTACACGGCCGTGTTTCGGGTGCTCCGCGCCCGTGTTTTGCCCCATGAAAGCACGGGAGGGCTCTGGGCGAAACACGGCCGTGTTTTCAGCCCGTGCTTTTTATGCCGAGAGCATAAAGCAAAACACGGGCGGGCTCAGGAAACACGGCCGTGTTTTGGCCCCCTGCTGCCCGTGTTTTGACTGCCGAGCCTGAAATGCAATTTTTTCAATTTTCAATCTCAAATCACCAAGATTCATTCGTGCCCCGGCTCTAAAATTTACCCAATCACACATCAAAACGAACCGCCCGAGGCACGAGAAACTTTCCAGACTGACTCCTAACTGACGCAAAGACTCAAAAAAAACCGACAAAGATGAAATAAATAAATAAAAACAAAGGTAGAAATGCAAACCGTGGTGGGGTTGCCTCCCCACAAGCGCTTCTTTACTGTCTTTTAGCTGGACGCCAATTGCGGAACTAAGGGTCCGCGAGCTCCACTGCTAACTCCGCACGTTCGACCTCGTCTCCCAGGTAGAGCTTGAGACGATGGCCATTCACTTTAAACGGCTCAGTTTGCGGGCTAGCAATCTCAATCGTGCCATACGGGAACACCTGTGTGACCGTGTACGGTCCAGACCACCGGGAATGGAGTTTTCCGGGAAAGAGTTTCAGGCGAGAGTTATAAAGGAGAACTCGATCACCAACCTGGAACTCTTTCGGACCCCGCAACCGTGCATCGTTGAGGCGCTTCGTGCGCTCCTTGTACATCTTGGTGTTCTCATAGGCGTGATAACGCCACTCTTCCAGCTCCAACATCTGCATTTTTCGCTCATCACCTGCAACACTAACATCCAAGTTTAGCAGCTTAAGGGCCCAGAAGGCCTTGTGCTCTAGCTCCACAGGCAGATGGCATGCCTTTCCATAGACAAGCCGGTACGGTGAGTTACCAATGGGCGTCTTGTAGGCAGTGCGATATGCCCACAGAGCATCATCGAGCTTGGTGGACCAATCCTTGCGGGATAGGATCACCGTCTTCTCCAAGATCCGCTTGAGCTCCCGGTTCGTCAGCTCGGCCTGGCCACAGACACCTTGTGAGTTACACCATAGCGAGATAACAATTTGTAACATCTCGTTACGGCAAAACCCATATTTCGATCGCTAGAAAATTTCACGATTTAAAATCGAACATTTCGACACTATTTCGGCGAAAATCGGATTATCGATCGGATAAGTATACGTATTAATTATACATATAATATTATACATATAATATATATATATATATATATATATATATATATATATATATATAATCCCGGCCGCATATATATATTAACATTTCCCCTGTCCATTATCTCCATCACAATCTTCTTCGGTTCCATTTTTCTGGACCGAGAGCAGAAGCTCTTCAGGGCACGCGAGAAAGTAAATTGCAAAGCTCCAATCTTGAGCCCTAGTGATCCAAAAATCCCGTAATTAATGCCTCATTCATCTATTCATCGTGATTTATCGATTTAGAGCTTTAAAACGAGTTTTTGATTCAGGAATTTCTCGAATTCCCGATAAGCCAAATTAGGGTTTCGGAGTATCCGGAAGCCGGATTGAGCCCAAATTTCATATACGAGCTTCCTGCAGCGAGGTAATCAATCCTCTAGTTCTAATCCCTGAATTTCGGCTATTATTTAGGCCGGGGTCCAAACCGCTAAATTTAGCTCCGGCCAGGGTTTTATGTGTTTTTACCAAGAATATGACCCGGAGCCTAGAACTAATATTGACGGGGATACTGCAGGGGATATTAGGACGATCTCGGATTTTAATTGGGGTTCGTTCGTGAAATTGACGTTTTAGTACGGGAAGGTTAAACCGGTGTTTGAACGACCAGAACTGGTGAGGGATTAGCATGGCATACCGGGTTTGTCGTATCACGATAATTATATTGATGCTTAGAATTGATCTAGGTGAACTAGAATGACATGATTAGGGGTGTATGAGCTTTTGTGCTATATGATGAACCTTGGACTGCTGTTTGATATTATTGACTTGCCCTAATTGATATGAACCTTGTTTATGTGGATGATTGCATACATGTTGCCATTTGTGGCTTAATTGTTGATATGACTTCATGGTTGTTCGATAAGGGGTTTTGACATGGTGTGATATTATGGTTGTATTTGGATCCATAAGTGGGAGAATAAACTTCCCAAGGTGATATTATGATGTTTTAAGGAGGATGACTTGCACGAGGGTTTATCCCGAGGAAGTGCAATTATACGACTCCTGATTTACCTATGTTGAGCCAATTGTGGCTTGGTCAAGTACATGTGCAAGTAACGAATTATGATTAAGCAAGATGAGATATGAATCATGTATAAGGATACCAAATATGAGTGTTGTGGTCTCACGGTCAACTACATAGTAATTAGGGCTCCCTATGCTATTACTCTATTGTGATATGTATGATAGTCACACCTCTCATGTGGTGGTGACTGAAGAATTCTTACGAGATATGACCACACCCAGAGTGGTGTCGGGGTATGACTACACCCATAGTGGTGTGGGGTATGTATGACCACATCCGACGGGATGTTGGGGTATGTATGACTACATCCGACGGGATGTGGGGTATGTTTCCCGGGAGAGTTATTAGCATGGGAGTAGCCAGGCGCCTATAAGTAAAACATGATAAGATGCATATGCATAAGTCAAGGTGGTTGAGTCTTTTGCCTATTTGGATGACGGAGGGCTGAGATCTGATCCCAGTGCTTTGGCTTGTTTGCTAGATGTATGATAGGGGTATGCTCTGTTATGAACTCACGATGCTATGATTATCTCACTCAGCTATGAGCTGACCCTCTTTTATTCTTCTTCTCTGCTTATGCTATGTGTAAGCAGATCATCAACAGCAGCAGTAGATAAGTGTTAGGTGGGAGAGGAGCTAGAGTTGAAGCCAAGATGAGGTATGGTCTTCAACTATTCTGTGCTTGGACGACTACTTGGGATTTTGGCCAGTGATCCACACCTTTTTGTAAAAATGTTTTGAGAACATTTTCATGTGCATACTAGCTTCGAATGTAGTGTGAGATATCCACAGGTGTGGAAAGTTGATGATATGTGTATATTTTTGTAATTGTGTAAGTTATGACGATTATGGCTTGTATTAGTATGGTATGCAGTTGTGTAGTATGAAACTGTGACTATGGCTATGAAAGTCCGTGTATATGGTTGTTAGTATATATGTTTGTGATGAATTATTTTGCAGGATAAGTTGCAAGAACTGTTAGCCCATTACGCGAGTAATTCATGTCGAAATTTTATTTGGGTAAATTTTGATAATTAATGTAACGCCCGAGATTAATTCCGCTGCAATTGTATGAACAATATGATTAGGCAAAATGTATAGGGTAGGGTGTTACAGTTTGGTATCAGAGCCCGGTTTCCCTCTTTTTGCTCTTATGGCGTACTATACCCTATGGGATGTTAAACACTCCTAAGGAGGGGAGTACCCCATAATGACTTAAACTAGGAATTGAGTTTGACATGATTATGTGTATTGGTATATTGGATGAAATTACCTGCATCATGGTGTTCAAAATTGAGTTTTGAACTTATTTGTTTTCAAGTAATTATTTTGGGAAATTTTTTGTTTTAACCAAGTGAGAGATTTGGTGAAGAATGAATTTTGTGTGGATCAATCTAAGGCCAATATTTCCTTGTAGCTCGCACGGAAGTTGTGAAAATTTTCCTACTGACCAGTCGAGAGGAGTGGGGGCGGTTGATGCAAGACCGCCGGTATTAGATTATGCAAAGATGAAGAGTTTGGGTGGTAGGGACTTTAAAGGAGATGTGAGTCCGGATGCTGTGGTAGAGTGGTTGAGGGAGATGGAAGATGTGTTTGAATATCTTTATGCAACCCCAGAGGAAAAGGTTCAATATGTTGTTTTTCTCCTAAAGGGGTATGCGAGGAGCTGGTGGTCCTCAGTCTCTAGAGTTAATGGTGAACGAGTTCAGTTCACCTGGGAGGAGTTCCTGAAGGCCTTTAAGACAGAGTTTCTTCCCGAAACTTTTATCAGGGCAAAGAACAATGAATTTGCCAACCTTAAGCAGGAGAATATGACAGTTACTGAGTACACCATCAAGTTTGTTCGACTACTCTACTTTGAGGATGGGTTGGCGGATACTGAGCATAAGAAGAAGATGAGATACTTGCATGGTCTGCGCATAGGATTAAAAGAAAAGATCCACGGGGTTGATGAAGAGAGCATGGCCACAATCAAGGAGGCAGCACTTAAGTATGAAGCCTATGAAGTTGAGAGCCGAGAGGAACACAAGGCCAAAGAAGAGGAGAAGAAGAGGAAGTTTGGAGTAAATTATGCTGGACCTCGTTACCCACCCAGGAGAGGTCCTAGCAGTTTTGGGAGAACACAGAGTCAATCTATGTTGGGAACATCATACAGGGCACCAATTTCCTCAGCCACACAATTTCCATTTTGTCAAGTTTGTCAGAAGAGGCATCTTGGAGAGTGTAGGAGATTTTCTGGTGTATGCTTTCACTGTGGCCAACCTGGGCACATCATGAGGGACTGTCCGCATTCGAGAGAAGTAAGAGCTACACAGTCCGAGCCTTCAGTGCAATTTAGTAGAGCCCCATTCAGGGGTGGTTACCAGGGAGGCCGTAGTGGATTTCAGAGTGGTCGTGGTGGTTCATAGGGTGGTAGAGGTGGTGGTCGAAATCAGCCATCAGGAAGTGGTACGCAGGGTACCCAGAGCACAGGGAGCACTGAGGGTTTATGCAATGACTCGAGGTGAGGCAGAAGTGGCACCAGAAGTTGTGACTGGTATGCTTTCTATCCTTGGCAAGCAATTATATGCTTTGATCGATATTGGTTCCTCTCACTCATGTCATATACGTTTGCACATATGCTACGCTTAGTTCCAGATAAGCTAGGTTATACCTTATGTGTTAAAACACCTGTGGGAGATACCTTGAAGGTAGACTCGGTTATTAGAAGTTCCTTCATTTGTGTGGAAGGAGCTTTCCTAGCAGCAGATTTAATTCTGCTACCTTTTGATGAATTCGTTGTCATCCTTGGGATGGACTTTCTAGCAACACATGGAGCTGTTGTGGATTGTCAAAAGAAAGAAGTGTTATTCAACACACCAGATAAAGGTCCTGTTGTATTCCGAGGCATTAAGAAAAAGGAGACTCATGGTTTTCTTTCTGCCTTGGAAGCTTTTCGGTTAGTGAAGGAAGGTTGTGAAGCCTTTCTTGCTCAAGTTACTGTTGTAAATGATAAGAAGGTTGAGGATGTAGAGGTGGTAAGGGAGTTTCCTGATGTATTTCCCGAAGAACTTCCTGGCCTTCCACCAGAAAGGGAAGTAGAGTTTGATATTGAATTGGTACCTGGCACAACACCAATTTCAATGGCACCATATAGAATGGCACCAATTGAGCTGAAGGAGCTTAAAGAACAATTGCAAGAATTGTTAGACAAGGGGTTTATTCGACCTAGCATCTCACCTTGGGGTGCACCGGTTTTATTTGTCAAGAAGAAAGATGGCTCCATGAGAATGTGCATTGACTATCGGAGGTTGAATAAGGCGACAGTGAAGAATCGTTATCCCCTTCCAAGAATAGATGATTTGTTTGACCAATTGCAGGGTGCATCAGTCTTTTCTAAGATTGATTTGAGGTCTGGATACCATCAATTGAAAGTGGCAGATGGAGCAACTTCAAAGACAGCTTTTAGAACAAGATATGGGCATTATGAGTTCCTAGTAATGCCTTTTGGACTCACTAATGCGCCAGCGGTATTTATGGCTCTTATGAACAGAGTTTTCCATGAATATCTTGATAAGTTTGTGATTGTGTTCATAGATGATATTCTCATCTATTCTAAAAGCGAGGAGGAGCACAAAACTCACCTTAGAATTGTGTTCCAAATTCTAAGGGAGAAACAATTATATGCAAAATTCTCAAAATGTGAGTTTTGGCTGAAGGAGGTAATATTTATGGGACATGTAATTTCTGGAAGAGTTCGGCCTATCTCTCCTCGATTCTCCTTATTCGGAGTTGAGTCGCTTTCTTCCTTCTCCCTTCGCCGAGGTGGATCCGAAAAAGGTGGAAGCAGTGGTGAGTTGGGCTCCACCAAAAGATGTGTCGGAGTTGAGAAGTTTTCTTGGCATGGCTGGTTACTATCGACGGTTCGTAGAAGGATTTTCTAAAATTGCTGCACCATTGACTAAATTGTTGAGGAAGAATACCAAGTATATTTGGGATGAATCATGTCAAAAGAGTTTTG